TCCCCTGCAGCGTCCTGGGCAATGAGGACGGGCCGGACGCCTACGAGCTGCAGGTGTGCCTGAAGGACTACTGCTTTGCCCGCGAGGACCGGGTGCTGGGCATTGCGGTGCTGCAGCTGCGGGAGGTGGTGGAGAAGGGCAGCTGCGCCTGCGGGTGCCCCCTGGGCCGGAGGATCCACATGGACGACACGGGGATGACCATCCTGAGGATCCTCTCGCAGAGGACCAACGACGAGGTGGCCAAGGAGTTCGTCAAGCTCAAGTCGGAGTCCCGCTCCCCGGAAGAAGGGAGATGATCCCGGTCTCCGTCTCGGACTGCTTGGGCCAGGCGCGCGCGGGGCAGCGGCAGCCGTTTCCCCTGGGCACCCTGGGAGGAGCGTGGGGGCCCCGTGAAACCTTCCTTGCCAAGGGGGTCTCTGGGACAGATGGGGAGGGGGAGCGAGGACCCCTCCCTGCTTCAGCAGCTGGGCGTAAGGGGTGGGGGCAACGTGCGCCTACCGGGGGAGGGGCAGGAGACCGAATCTCCGGCCGGCCCCACACTTCCTCCACTCGGGCAAGCCGGAGGCAGGCGGGGAAGGGGCCCGCGAGCCCAGCTGAGCCTCGGCCAGGCAGGGACGGGGGTCTCAGGGTCTAGGAAGGGCACTTGCCTGGAGAGGCCGGTGGATGGAGCCCCGGCAGGCTGTTGGCCCCTCGTTCTCTGCCGAGAGCTGCTTGGCCCCCGTCACCGTGGGCCACGCGGAGGGAGCGTTGCCTGGTGCAAGCTCTGCTTTCCTCCGGTGGGGGTGAGAGGAGGGGGCTTCCCTTTTCCTCTGGAGGTTGTAGGGCCTCTCGGTCTTTCTCAGAACGCTTCTAGGTGGTGCTTAGGTGTTGTGGGTGCCTGTGATGCAAACATGCTCTTTTAACCCCTCTTGAATGTGCCACTGTTGCAGGAAGTGTAGCCTTTAATAAAGGACTGTTAGCAGCATTCGCACCTGTGCCTTTGGCTGGGCTGGCCCACCTGTGGCTGGGAGGGTGGGCATCGAGGGGGTTCTGACGTCGCCATGGAGCCTCTTGGCGCAGCAGCTGCAGAGGAACCGGGGGGGGGCAATTCCGCTGTCTCTCTTGCCCACCGTTTGCGCCCCGTCCTCCTGCATCCCTCTGGGGGTCCAGCTGGCCCTGGAGCCTAATGTGGTTCCTGGAGGACCGGGGGGGGGGGGG